CCGCCGCCGCTGTTCCCAGTAGCCCCGAGGCCTCTCCGTGAGGCCGCCGGGGGAGGCCACCGCTCGCCACTGCTCCAGCCGGGGGCTGTCGGCCGCCGGGCGGGCTGGCAGCGCTGATCCCCTGGGCGAGGCCTGCTCCCAAAGGCATCGTGCGGGAAACCCGAGCCCAGCCCGTTCAGACCGAGGGAGGCAACGAGCAGTCTCGGTGTCTGAAATTAATCTCTGGGAACAGATGGTGTTTCCGAGCTTTTAGCTTCGGAAAGACAAATATCGAACGCTCCACGATCAACGCGCTGTTGGAGAGGGCTGGCAGAGATGCTCCCTCGCTTCCCCTTCAGAACAGATTCTGTCGGTCCCGAGGCCGCTCCTGGTGGGGTGTGTTGTCTGGCACCGTAACAGCGAGGGCACTGCGTTTTCCTAGCGTCTATTTTGCAGGTCACACAAGTGGAACGGATCTGAAAAGTACACAGAAGGAGGCTGGCAGCGTGTCTTTGCATCTCACCGGTCAACGCCGAGCTGAGGAGAGAACACAATCTTAGTACCAGCGTGAATCCTGGTAGCTGGTCTGAAGATTGGTGTGAAATACATCCTTCGGGAAAAAAACAGCAGAAAGGATGGAAGGATCTTCGCTCTGCCAAAATGATGAAACATCACCCTCAGCATAAGAACTTTACAGAATCTTACTTCTTTAAAAAACAAAAACTTTATCCAGGAATTAATATTCACCCCTGCAGTAGCCTAACACCCATCCGAGGCACTCGAGTTCTGGCCCAACTGACAAGACACCGTTTGTGCTCGCCATCAAGCTGTTCCTGTGCAAAGGAACTTCAGCGTTCAACATGTTTCCTGCACATGGCCTCGGGGTTTTCTCTCTGCCCCCCGGGGAGCCCAGCCTCCCCTCTCCCAGGTGCTCGGCCAGCTTTGGACCCGAGCCCTAGCACACCGACGGCCAACGTGCATGTGGGGCTGCAAAGGGCGCATCTCCCTCTCTTTGACGGGCACTGATCTGTTCTCATCTTCCTGCTGCTGATGTGGCGCAAAGCCTGGAGACAGCATATTTGTGTCAGCTGAAGCCCTTGGTAATTTTAAAGAGGTATTCGTAAGAAAACAGCAACGTATCTCACAAAAGCCTCCCTAAGAGGTTATCTAATCCACCCCTGCCCCAGACAGATATTGTAAGCATTCAGCAGAGCTAGTTTACAACCATTCAAAAAAAAAAAAAAAAAAAAACAAATAAAATAAAATTAGTGCTGGAAGATGTCACGCTCCCCCAAGCGGTCTGTTCTAGCTGTCTTCCAGACAGATCTTTTAAATGCTTAATCAACAGCTTCCCTGCTGTAGCTTGTGCCCCGTATTAACAGGCCTGTCCTAATCGCTATGGGATCATTCCTCCTTGTTGAAATCTTCCATGTTTGAATATTTCCTGCCCTCTTCCCCCCAGTCCTTCTTTCCATAGGGGAAAAAAAAATCCCAGTTTTTCCTTATCCTTCTGTAAAATGTAATATTTTCTAGATACTTCTTTATCCTCTGGCCCTTTCAGGCTCAACATCTTCCTTGAGTCAAAGTGCCCAAAGCTAGAGTACTGTATTCGGCAGAGGCTTTCTCACAATCCCTCTGAACTACTCTCCCAGACTCATTTCAAAACTGTACATAAAATACTAAGTGTTTAGAAACAAAACTTCAGCGAAAGCAAATATTGAGTATTTGAACGGGCAATTTCACACATACCGAAGTAATTTGCTTTTCAAATTGTTAGTTAGGTTAAAAAAAGGCAGCTTGCCACGTGAAATTCAGTAGCTATAAGTGCAGGCCAGCAAGAGGCCTTCAGAAATACTGTGTTTCTCCTAAGAACTGAGAACCAGTTAGCGCAGTGCTCAAGCAATAAATCAGTTCTACGATGACTTGGCAGACATATCAGAGCAGCCAGTTTTATTGGGAGCAATAATATCTACAGAAACTGGTATTATTTTTAAGATATTAGTAAAATTTTTATCACCAAACAGCAAAACTCGGTGGTCGGGTAACGTATAAATTGCTTTTGGTTATTGCAACAGGGCAAGTGCTGTTCTCCGTAAGGCTCTGCTAACACAAGCAACGGTAACTCAGGCACTCCGAGTAAATCCAGTTAGCGGCTGGGAAGTCCACTCCTGATGTAAGCGCTGGGGGAGGTTGTGTCAGCTGCGGTCAGTCAATAAAGAGCACACACAGGATGGCAGAGGAAGGCTGGACACAACATGTCAGTTTTTTATTAACCAAAAATGAAGCTGAACCCCCCCCCCCCCCCCCCGCCGAGTGGTTTAACTTGTTAAAACCATATGTTTATACGGCAAGTATTTTTCTTTCATGTTCAACACTATAGTGCAAGAACCAAACTTTGCAGCTGTTCATCCTTTGAGAATCAAGTACTAAATGTAAAACGAATTAAAAATAAGGGTCCCCTCAATGAACCAATTAAAAAAAACCCA